TACTCAACCCCCGGACTACTGGCGCTGCTGACGTCACAACGGCTACCTCCGGTCAACCTCCCCCAACTGTCCCACACCCCTTTCACACACTCCCTGTTGAACCTCTAGCACCGCTCACACGCCACCCCCCTCGTACCACTCCGACGGCTCCAACACATCCACCCCCCTCAGCGGCAGCTGCAGCAGTGGGAGACGGAGGAGGAGGAGGAGCAGGGGACGGCTCACACACCCGGCACCCCCATACTCTCCACCCCCAAACCCTAACACAGGAGCGCGGGCAGCAGCGGGGGTGGGGCGCGGTCAGAAGCTCGGGGGACAGCGTGCGGCACTGGGGCAGACAGTACGGGCCGCGCGCGGGCCTGGCGCAGGCCGTACGGGCCGCGCGCGGGCTGCCCGGGCCGCGCGCGGGCCTGGCGCAGCCCGTACGGGCCGCGCGCGGGCCTGGCGCAGGTCACGCCGGCCGCGTCGGGCCACGGGGGGCGACGCGCGGGTCCCTGGGGGCTCCGCGACGGGCGACGGGGGGCGACTTGCGGTTCGACGGGGCGGGAAGAAAAAACGCCGCGCGCCCTGAGCGCACGGCAGGCAGCAAACATCGCGCACCAGGGCGTGCGATAGGCAGGACAGCAGCGGAAGCATTGGGCGGGACTATCCACAGGATCGACCCAGGAGGGTCGACCTGCTCTAATACCATGTCAGAAACAGGAGGAAGAAACTAGAAACAGGAAAAGTGAGAGGTTTTCACTAGCAGGCAGTTGAGTACATATAGCAAACCCTAATTTGGGCTGTACTCGCTATAGAGTACCCCACTGCAGGCTAGACAAACATCACATTCTGACAGGGGGAGTGCAGAGTGGTGCAGGGAATGGCACGGCATATCGCTGTATCGGTTGAGAAATCTGAGCTTGAGAGTGTATTGCTATTCTGTTTCTTGATATGACATTTTTATGATTCACGGTTTGCCTTCAATGCTTTTCTGCGCCGATTCAGCGCTTGGAATGTTTTGTTATCTTGAGGTGATGCCTCAAAACCATCCAATTTTCTTAGTCAATTAGAATTGTAAAAATATCTTTCAATGTACTGCCTCACTCTTACTCGCGTGAGAGTTTCGCATTTCGAGTTGCCCCCCAAGAGAAGTGCAGTGTGCCCCCACCAGTGGTGGGGCGGGAGCAGTGCCTTGTCGCACACTGAGTCGTTCGGCTCTCCCATCAGCTGTCGCAAAGTATCGTGGCGAAGGCTGTTTTACCCGCCTCCTAAATTCGCTTTCACCTCAGTCACGTTTTCGAAATGCACAATTTTCTGGTATTCGCCAAACTATTTCAACCTCACAGGTAACTTGAAAAATTACCATGCTGACCTCGGGCTTTAAAAACCATGCCAAATAGTTAATTCAATAAAAAGGGGTGGCATTTGTAATGGTATGTAAGCCCATAAGCTATGCGCTTATAATTGAGGACCGGATATAAGGGCCATATGCTCATCATAAGCGTCAGGCGCTTATCCAAGGCCTGCGCTTATATCTGGGGGCTGATGGTACGTGAAAAGTTCTGTTACATGACTAAATGTGGTAACTGAGTTGAAATTTAACCATACGTGAACAAAGTCGGACCCACCCTTAGAGAGGGGTTGGAGTGAGGCAATGATTTCTGGGTAGGAAAGGGGAAGCAATTCTACATCTTCTTGCCATGCATAGGTGGGTTTTCCAAGGGATTGGGTTGTTTGTAATTGCCGTTAGAAGTTTGCATCATATTGGTGACAGTTAGTGTAAAAAGCAGGTCGAGATTGATCAAAGAATCACTTGTGTGCATCTCAGCTTGGCAAGAATTGATTATTGAGAGAGCAGTAGCACAGGGATAGCAAGAACAAGGCGGAAGCATCAACTACCAGAGGAAGGCAGTGACCTGGAGTTGTGCACAGGAAAGTGAGAGCCTTCCAGGAGATGGTTTTAACTTTGGCGGCTGGGAGGTGTGCCATAGCTTGCGCACGGGAGCAGTGGGACTCGAAAGCGAAAAAGGGGAGGATGGGAGGGACGGAGGTGAGGAGGCAAAAACCGGGAGGGAGGGAGGCACGAGCATGTACGTAAGAGACAAGGCAAGGCGGACAGGTGAGGTAGTACCCAGGCCGAAGGCGGAAGGGGGATGGGGGTTGGAGAAGGGGATTACAAGTGCTCCTATCGAACTTTGAGTATCTGGCAGGTGTGGTGCACTTGGGAGAGCTAAGGGAGCCAAGTGGGAGAACACGCAATGAAGTGAGGTGAAGGGTGTCATTGGATTGGAGCCAACACCACGGGGTGAGGACCGGGCTAGGAGGGGTACTGAGAGGCAAGGTATGGGGGGACAGTGGTGGGGGGAAGACCAAGGCAGCGATGGGGCCAGCGGCACATGACACCGTCTGTGTATGCATGACACCTTCGATGGGAGCGGACTGAGCACGGCTTTCAGGACGGCAAAAGGGGTCTCACTGGATCTCAACCTTAGCACCGAATGCCGTCGTGACGGGGATGATAGGCAGGTAGGGCACGGGGGGCAAGGGGAAGGGAGATGGATAACGGATAAGCAGGTGAACCACGTCGTTTCAAAGGCCGGAAGCCAGGACTGCAGCGCAAGGGGGACAAGCAGGGCGACGGGATGAAAGCGCTGAAAACAAGTGCAGCAGCGAATGGCGGACCGAGAGCAATAAGGGAGATGGTAGGAGGCAGAGGGGTTAGGGGCGTGGTTCAGCCCCAGCCCGGATCAGTAGGTGCGGCTTAGAACATGAGGGCTTTCCGAGTCACCGAGCCATGCGGCTGAATGAACAGGAGAGCGGGGGTGGGAGGTGGCGAGGCGGTGACTGGGAGGCGAGGTGCCAGCCCGAGTCCCAAGGCGGTGACTGGGAGGCGAGGTGCCAGCCCGAGTCCCAAGGCGGTGACTGGGAGGCGAGGTGCCAGCTCGAGTCCCCAGGCGAAACAAGGTGGCAAGCATGTCGAAACAAACGGATGAAAAGAAAACGCAAGGAAGTGGCATGAGAGTGAAAACGTTGCAAGGATAGAAGCAGAGTTCGCGGGCAGGGAGGGAGGAGAGGCGAGGGGATTGAGCAACTAGGGGTCGGGCAACTAAGTTTCCGGCAAAGGTGGCCCACGAGCCCCCCCCGGGTGGGGGGGGGGGGGGGTCCGTTGGCGTCACGACGGGAGACAGCGGTTAAAGCCATCGACCGGGGGGCTTGTCTTGCCGCACCGAAACAGCGCACGAAATTGACGTCGCGAGATGGGTAGGCGAGCGTGGACAGGCACGAGCAAGATCTGCGAGCTTAGCGTGGGGTAAGACTAGGAGTGGCAAGGTCTAAAGAGAAGATCAAAGGAACAACGGGACGCTAAGCGTGCGAGAAGGGAAAGACCGAGGGGCGCGATCACGGCCTGATCGTGCCTGTCGAGGGTTAACAAGACGATAAAAAGGAAAACGGGACGTCGGGACAATAAAAGGAAAACGGGGCGCGATCAGGGGGCGACACGAAGGGGAGTTCGAGGAGCAGCGTGGCAAGCATGGCTCGATGCGGTGTCGATGGGGGTGGAAGTGCTGAGATCAGCATCGCGAGGCGGACGAGGCAGCGGAAGTAGCGTGGAACAAGAGCGATTGGCACGGGGAAATCACCTGGGCGGATAAGTCCCTAAACCATTCTCGGGAGGCCAAAGAGCGTGTGGCGAAAAGGAGAAGCGGGGGCAAGCAATGGTGTAGCAGAAGGTAAATGGACGGATACAGGCAGTGTTGAAAAGGTCGGCGCGGCATACGATGAAACAGAAGGGAAAGGGGGAAGAGCAAGAAGCAGGACAGACCAACGCGAGGAAAGGAAAGGAAAGATGCAGCAAGCGCGCGAAGCGAGGGCCGATTTAACGCAATCGACGGCGGAGAGCCAGCTGAGGTCAATTTCGGCTTGACATATGCGGGTCCTAGTTTCACGGGGACGCTGATGGCTTGGTCAAATCGAGATATCTGGATGGAGGAAATTTCCCGAGGATTGGCCAGATATCGGCTGCTGTGAGCGGAGTTCCAGGGTGCTTGTATCTTCTACAGATTCACTCGATATGGTAATGGCTACAAGATGGGGGATCTTATGCAGATTCATCGAAAACAGGTTTGGGAGTGGAGATAACGTCATGCCCCGGATATACCCCCATATGGGGGTGTATAATGAATGGGCTTATAATGTGGTAAATCGTATAACCCCATGGGGGAAATAAATGACACTTAGAAAAATATGATTTTAAAACATAGAAATGTAGATCTCAGCCTTGCCTTTTCAATCGAGACTACCATGTGGTAAAACTTGGAAAAATGGTGGGTGGGCTTATAATGTGGTAAATCGTATAACCTCATGGGGGAAATAAATGACACTTAGAAAAATATGATTTTAAAACATAGAAATGTAGATCTCAGCCTTGCCTTTTCAATCGAGACTACCACAAAACAGCTTGCTTCGAAATTCACCGAGAATCTGCCACCCTAGCAAAAATCCCTGCCGTGACGTGCTGAAATGTTGCTAACACGTGCGCGCCTGTGGCAATTTCGTCAGGAAGACTTCGCCAGGCATGTTAGCGACGATTGCTCCTGACGCGTTAGTGGCGAATTCACTAGAAAAACACAGATTTGAGTAAAATTTCATAGGGTGCGGTTATACGAAGATGATCCAAATTTAGGGTGGGGTTATAATTGGCACCCGGCTATAAGCCCACTGGTACGATTATAACCGCATGGGTGTAACATAGGCCTGGGGGTATATCCGGGGTATGACGGTAACTCAAGACCCTCCCACATTCAACGAGCTGGGGGGCTATAAATATGGAGGGTTGCGGGATCAGTCAGGTAAATACGGTATGTTACACATCCTGCAGCACTCAGGTAAGGACTGACTGCACCTCGTACACATTTGACATAAGGTGCAATGTGGTTCAAAGCAGAGTACAGCACACCTAAAAAACACTAAAAATGTGAACATGTACTAAAACATGTGAATTATTCAGTATAGTCTGTCTATGAACCCCGCCTCCTTGACCAGAGCGCTGAAACGATACTAGATGCCAATGTTCGGTCATGCTTGTCATCGCTTTCAATCATGTCCTGAAAACAAAGGTTCACACCAGAAAAAGGGAAAGAACCAGATTGGTCCAGCAACGGCTTGATGCATGCATGCCAAAGCAAAACCGCCAAAATAGTCAAGCAAGACCCCACCTTGATAAGCTTCTTGCTTTCCTCGTCACCCATTTCGTAGACAAAATGGCGAATGGGGGCATGTCTAGTTCGTAAAGCTCCAAGGGTGTCAACGAATTTCATGTCCTTAAGAAGCGTCTCCTCTTCAACCGGCAATGCGGACAGCTGGCGATCCATCTCATGCACCAACTCAGGCACGTTGTACTTGTGAGCCGCTTGAAGAAGAGAAAACCCATGTGCCTGTAATGAACGGAAGAAGGGTGAGGAGACTGCCAGGGATGTCTGACAAGTAAAAGGTTCAAAAGGCATGGCCACGCTACCTGGCAGTGGGCTGCCAGGTCCTGAGTTCAGAAGACATGTACCTTGCGATTCTCTTCAGGCAGCACCACGGTGCAGCCGTACATGAATGACACGAGCAGCTTCAGAGTCCCAGCATCCATGTCATTCAGCTTGAGCACCGAGCCCTTCTCATTCTCAAGCAGCGAAGTATCAAACAGCGCCTCCAGCACAGGAGACCTGGAGAAACCGTCAATACAAATTTGTGAGAAACTTCTGGCCAGTACCAGGGATTACCATGAATGAGTCAGATTGAAATGGACAGCAGAACAAACAAACCATAATCAGATACTGACCATTGCGCTATAACGCTGCGGTGTGCAGCGACCTTGGTACCATCCGAAGCCTCAAAGGTTACATCGGTGAATTTCTCTGCCTCAAACATTTTCTTGAGTTTTGCTATGAAACATGCTGAAGGTGGGTACCTGCAATTTCCCAGCCACAACCCCATACAAGAGAATGCAGTCAGATGTGACATGACAATCTTGAAACCAGCAAAAGACAGGAGAAGAGAAGAGAAGTGGAGATAAGAAAGAAAAGAGACATGAACACTCCTAGAAATGTTGATAGAGCGAAATACCTTGGCTTAGGCTGGTCATCACCATTTCCCTCACTGCAACCATCAAAGAGAAGCAAGAATAATGTTTTGATTTGAATTAGTGCTGCTGGATGTTCAGTGGATGTTCAATCAGTGCAAGCAGACAAACTTCATTTGCACTGTATAAGAAACGCTCAACCAGAGCACGACAAGCGTCCCAAACCTAGATCAATGCTAGACTCGCTGGAAGGGAGAAGAGAAAAAATTATGCAAAGATCCTGGACTTCCCTTACTAACAGTTATTCCCCCCCTCCCCCCTTCCATTCCGGGCCAACAGACAGAAAATAAAGCCAACTCCTTGGGACGTATTTCACAACAACACGGGCGGAGTAGTTCTCTGTTCAAGCCGCACCTTTCTGATTGTTGTCAACACAGAAGAATGAAAGGCAAAGGGGGGCCGAGAGGGGAGGAAGGAAGAGGGGGGGGAGAGAGAATGGGCCCCGCAAAGCGGGAGGAAACGTTGCTTACTGGGGTCTCTTGGACATTTTGTGCAGCAACTTGCTCGGCGGAAGAGACGCAGGACTACAAGGGGGGAATCACGGGGGAGAAATCGGGTAGTGGGAGCAGCAATTTGTCCGCTAGACTGGTCTGGATTTGCTAGTTCTCGGCTGAGAACTGCTTCTGTCCAGCTCTACTGAAAAACAGGAGAGCAGTGGTTCGGTGCTCACGAATCTGGTATTCACATGCGTGGACGCAAGTCGCAACTTAGGCAAGTTCACAAACCCTAAGCGCATCTGACGTTCGCCAAAAGCGTACCCAGGTCGCAAAGCGAGAAGCGTCGAAGCCCGTCAAAGCTGGCCGAAGTGAGATGTTGAAGGATATGAAAGGATGTTGAGTGAGGTAAACCGACTTCTCAGGGTTACGAACCCGACAGTTTCACATCCCTCGACATTAGTAATGGGATCCGTCGGCATCCTCACTATAATCGGGTTACGATCAGTGACTGAGGAAAGGCTCTTGCCTGAGCGTCGCCTGGGGTGAGAGATCTTTCCGTATGTTCCGGTCTGTCAGATTAAAAATTTCGACGGTCTGGATTTATGTCAAGGTTGATTGGCATGCTCGGACTCTCAAGATCTTGCTCGGGAAACAGCAGCGACCTGTTCGCGAGAGTATGGCCTTGTTCGGCTGCACAAGAAAGCGGCCACAACCAAACAACCAGCCACTAATCGAACTAACCAAACAGTAATCTAGGTTCGGCACGCCAGCTGACTCATGGTGACGTGTAATTCTCTCCTACGATTGGTCGCATTGCCGAACTTCTTTCCTAACCAGTTTCGTATTGAGTTCAGGTTTGTTGCTGGTTCCATGACAACCCAACAGTGCCAATCAACCAGAAGTGCACAGTAATTCACGGGAAAATTTTTGTGCATTGCTGGTTGGTTTTTGGTTGGGTGCTGATCCTGCTTTCAACGTGGGTGGGGATGGTTGTCAGTTCATTGTGAGCTTAATGCAGAGAGCTGATTGGCTTGTTCATATAATGTGCGCTTTCCAGGAATTTAGAAATGTGGTTCCTCGAAGCCACGTACAGGTGGTTGTGTTTGTTGGGTTAGAAATGTGCTGCCATGGTTTTTGAGGCCTTGTTCGGCTGCACAAGAAAGCGGCCACAACCAAACAACCAGCCACTAATCGAACTAACCAAACAGTAATCTAGGTTCGGCACGCCAGCTGACTCATGGTGACGTGTAATTCTCTCCTACGATTGGTCGCATTGCCGAACTTCTTTCCTAACCAGTTTCGTATTGAGTTCAGGTTTGTTGCTGGTTCCATGACAACCCAACAGTGCCAATCAACCAGAAGTGCACAGTAATTCACGGGAAAATTTTTGTGCATTGCTGGTTGGTTTTTGGTTGGGTGCTGATCCTGCTTTCAACGTGGGTGGGGATGGTTGTCAGTTCATTGTGAGCTTAATGCAGAGAGCTGATTGGCTTGTTCATATAATGTGCGCTTTCCAGGAATTTAGAAATGTGGTTCCTCGAAGCCACGTACAGGTGGTTGTGTTTGTTGGGTTAGAAATGTGCTGCCATGGTTTTTGAGGCCTTGTTCGGCTGCACAAGAAAGCGGCCACAACCAAACAACAACCAGCCACTAATCGAACTAACCAAACAGTAATCTAGGTTCGGCACGCCAGCTGACTCATGGTGACGTGTAATTCTCTCCTACGATTGGTCGCATTGCCGAACTTCTTTCCTAACCAGTTTCGTATTGAGTTCAGGTTTGTTGCTGGTTCCATGACAACCCAACAGTGCCAATCAACCAGAAGTGCACAGTAATTCACGGGAAAAATTTTGTGCATTGCTGGTTGGTTTTGGTTGGGTGCTGATCCTGCTTTCAACGTGGGTGGGGATGGTTGTCAGTTCATTTTGAGCTTAATGCAGAGAGCTGATTGGCTTGTTCATATATTGTGCGCTTTCCAGGAATTTAGAAATGTGGTTCCTCGAAGCCACGTACAGGTGGTTGTGTTTGTTGGGTTAGAAATGTGCTGCCATGGTTTTTGACTTTTGCAGGCAACATGCGAGAACAGGCCCACGTTTGCATGTCTGGTTGCACAGCTGGAAGGGTAGCACAGTGAACCACGTTGGTTTTGTTTTTTAGTTGGCCGAGCTTCGGGCCGAGGCTGTCTTGTCGTTCCGGCACAATCAGTGCTGGTCAGAAGTTCTTGGCAGCCAAAGTGCTGCCGAACAGGGCCTGACTTTTGCAGGCAACATGCGAGAACAGGCCCACGTTTGCATGTCTGGTTGCACAGCTGGAAGGGTAGCACAGTGAACCACGTTGGTTTTGTTTTTTAGTTGGCCGAGCCTCGGGCCGAGGCTGTCTTGTCGTTCCGGCACAATCAGTGCTGCCGAACAGGGCCTATGATGGGCAACGGGTTTGGGCGCTGGGTTCGAAGGGCTGGTTCGGCCCAGACTCAATGCCGAACCTGCGATCGAAAAACGTCTAGAGGTTTCAATTGCGATATGCTGGAGTTTAGTGCGTTAAATATTGAAACCTGCACGTTCGAGCCAGACTCGCCAAACTCGAAATGATCACGAGGCTTGGGCTATTTCGTCTCCCCACCAGACCCAATCTGAAGAGCCAGCCAGGTTTGGACATCTCCTGCCCCTCCTTCCCCCTCCCCCCACCCGGGGTTCCTGCTGCTCGGCAGCACCCAGGGTGCATCCCCGAGGGTGGGGGATCTCCCAGTGAGCAGCAGTAGGGGATCGTTCTCTGCTGACTCCCAAGGTACTGATCCCCTTACTCACGCGGAAACCTTTTCACTTGGGACCCACCTAACTCCGACTATCACCTATGCTACTACCTAGGTTTCTACCTACCGCGGAGCCTCGCAGCCCCAGCTTACCTGTCGATTCCACCGTTCGATTGTCAAACCGTCGCCACTTAGGCTGGTTTCCGACATCGTTTCGGCGCCAGGTAAGTTGGTTATCAGCCTCGGTCTGATTCCGCTACTCACCTCTCTCACCTTGATCTCCTTAGCTAACTTGGCGATGACATGCAGGGACCAGGTCGCAACAAATCCCACGAATTTTCTCGGTCGACGTCCGGCTCGCGACGTAAACGAGGACCCTTGCCAGTGCCGCGCTGCCGCCTAGGGGCATTCCACCGCTGCTGCCCGCATCCTACGGTTTCCACGCCGTCGCCGACGATCCCCTGTTTCCGCCGGGAACTCGGCAGCCTGAATTTTGATCGCGCACACGCGTTGATTTTTCTCGATCCGCCCCCTCTCGTTCACACGGTTTTCATCGCCCTGCCGATTCCTACCTCACAGCAATGCAAAAAAAAATCACCGTCATCTCCGATCTGTCCTCCCCTCCTGTTTATGCTTCTCCCAGCTGACACGTCTGCCATCGCGCACGGCGGGACCCAGGCTCGCTTCGCCTCCCAGCTGCCTTATCACGAGTCGGGCGTTGGCTCACCGTGCTACTGCAATATTAACCTCTCACCTTCTTCCTTCTTCTATTTTCGGCAGCAGTGGCGACCGCAAGCCTGTTTACGCCGTACCTCACCTTCGCATCTTCCGAGGTATACGTTACCGCGCATCCCTCTGCCTTTCTCAGTCGATTTGCATGTTACCGCTTCGCTAAGCTTCAAGGTCCACTGCTTCCCTGTTTTTTCGCAACGTCGCTCTCTCTTTCGTTTCGATGCTCCTCACCTTGCCTCGTTACCCGTTCCTATGTGCATGGACTTCAAACTCGGGTTGCCGCTTAGGCTCCCAGTCTACCCCTGACTCGGGTTGCCGCCTAGGCTCCCAGTCTACCCCTGACTCGGGTTGCCGCCTAGGCTCCCAGTCTACTCCTGACTCGGGTTGCCACTTTAAGCTCCCAGTCTACCCCTGACTCGGGTTGCCACTTAAGCTCCCAGTCGATTTTCGTGACTCGCTGTGGCCAACGCCTTTGCGTTCACATTCTCGCTCTTGCCACTGCTTGCGCATGTCTTCGCAACTCAAGATGCCCCTCCGGCTCCCTTTCACCCCCCTCGGACCACCTTGGTCACTCTTCGTGTAACCACTTGCACTCCCCCCCGTGCCTCTCACCTTTGTAACGACCTGCGCCTTGCGCCTGCATGCCTAAAATGCTGTCTCGCCCGCCTCTCCCGCCCCCCTGGCCCAATTCCGATGTTGCAGGTTGAGGTGACTCTTCCACTCATACCCTCTCCTGCCACCTTCCCCTCGAACGCTACGGTTGTATATTCTGCCAGGATGGGTGTCTGTCCCTTAAGCACCCCATTCCCCCACCCTGTACTCGACGCCCAGGCTGTGGAATCCCATCCTGCAAGCCCTCTTATAAGCCTCTCCCCAAGTTCCCGCCGTCCCCCATCATCAGTAACTGTTGCAGCTCTGGACACACCTCCCCCCCTCCTCTCCTCCCGCTTTCGTGCCACACGTCGGTACGGCTCCTCCCTTTCCTCTCCCCCTGGGTCAGCCTCTTCCCCCTGTGGTGTCTCACTCCGGTTACATCGTCCTTGACCGCCCCCTCTTCACCCCGCTAGTGTACCGCACCGCCCCCCTGCCCCCCTGGATCAGCCTTTCCCCGCATGCCCCCCAGGTTTCACCCCGGGCCCTCAGATGGCTCAGTTACTCTGCTGTACCACCTTCCGCCCCGCTGTACCCTTGCTTGTGGTGCTCCCTTCCCCTCCTCTCACTCTTCGTTCCCTTTCTATATCAGCTTCCTAGCACTGTTTCAGCCGTCAGAGAGTTACCCCCCCCCCCCCTCCTCCCCCCCCGCCTGCTTTTCCAGTAGTTTTTGCTGCCCCTGTTTTGCTTGCCCTGCATACTTCAGTACAGGTTTCCACACGTGGCCATCTTTGAAATGCTTCACCTGTGATTATGCAATAAATCTTGACCTACATCTTACGCTCTGTTCCGACACTAGTCAAATTTGTAACTGGAAACAATGCCATAGTACCGGTATTGGTCACTTCGCTTTCCCCAATCCATAGTGGCAAATGCATGTAATGCCGGTATTGGTATTGCGTTGAAACACGTCCTCGCTGTAAAACGGAAAAAGGATCGTACCGTACCTTTTGCAATCACCGGTACAACACGCAATTACCCAAGGTTCTCTTGTATTCTACCTTGCTATACTCTACACCACCTTTGCTCGTCAGCCTTGTGGTGTGGCTCGGATGATGTTCGAATAAAACCGGCATGCACGTACGGCATTGTTTACGAACCCCAAACTCCAATCATACCGTACCCTGTGTCAAGAAGCTAGGCGAGAATCAGAAACAGGAAAGAGGGGTTTGCACTAGCAGGCAGTTGAGTACATATAGGAAACCCTAATTGGGCTGTACTCGCTATAGAGTACCCCACTGCAGACTAGACAAACATCACATTCTGACACCCTGCTCCACAGGGTCGTCGCTAGCAGACTTTTTTTGTCTGTTTGGCTTATAACCAGACATGCTTTTTTGCATTAGTCTGATGGGCCAGTCAGCATCAGACAAAACTTTCCTTTTGCCAGGGGACCCGTCTGATGCATCAGGCACGCCTCAGATCCTCGGGACGACCCTACTGCTCCAGCTCTTCCGTGACCCCAAGGTATTACGCATTTGTGTCAAACTGAGGAATGAATGATGCATTGATGTTGGTTTGGGGTACATATAACAAACCCTAACTTTTGTACCCCCTAAGACAAGCCTCACTACAGGCTACAACACTTGACACACCCCCATAGCCTAAGTGAGGGGTGTCTAGCAAAACCAAAAGAGTACGGTCATAAGACCAGTCACAAAGAAACAAAGCTCAGGGTGGATCACAACGTCACCACACACTCTGAGCACAAGCAACAGTGGCCACAAGGCCAGTCCAAGCAATAACAGAGATATATAGAAAGTGTACAAGCAAAGCAAACAGTGAACTCAAGACTAAGTAAGACGAAAACCAGTGTCAACAAGGCCTAACTGCACACAGCACCTGTGGTGGTCACAAGGCGGAAGCGCCTTGGTGAAGATGTCTGCAGTATTGGCCTCGGACTCCACAAACTCAAAGCGAGCCTGTCCACGTCTCTGCAACTCTCGCAGAAGGAAGTACCTGACGTTAATGTGCTTCACTCTGCTCTCCAGTCGCGGCTCTCGACAAAGGAGAATCGATGCCTTGTTGTCAGTGAACAAGGTCGGTGCAGAGCTCGGCCGCTCACCCAGGTCGGCGAGCAAGAACGTCAACCAACGCAGCTCCTATGCTGCCATAGCACCAGCATAGATCTCAGCCTCAGCTGTAGAGGTCGAGACCGAAGAGGAGCGCGTGGACCGCCAGGAAACAGCTCCAGAACCCAGGCTGAAACAGTACCCCTGAGTAGACCTGTGAGTCTCAGCGTCGTCAGCGTAAGAAGAGTCACAGTGACCAGTAAGTACGACAGACTGCTGCCCTCCAAGAACTAGCCCCACGCCTGATGTCGTCGCTAGGTACTTCGCCACCCTCACAGCTGCTGTCCAGTGAACAGGACGGTGTCTCCCTGGCGCAACAAAGCGCGCAAGGATGCTGAGAGGGAAAGCGAGGTCCGGGCGAGTACAAGTCATCAGGTACATGAGGCAACCCACAAGCTCTGCGTAGGGACCACTGGGCTCAAACGGCTCGTCAGGAAAGGGTCCAGTGAGTCTGTGGTCAACAGACAGAGGTGTGCGCTGTACTGTGGAGTGCTGAAGCCCAAACCGCTGAAGGACCTGCTGCACCATGTGTGACTGTGAGAGTGTAATGGTGCGAGCAGCTTGTCAGAATATGTTGTTTGTGTAGCCTGCAGTGGGGTACTCAATAGTGAGTACAGCCCCTTAGGGTTTGCTATTTGTATCCTGCTGCTTGCTAGTTCAATCATTCCTTCCTCATTTCTGTTCATGCACACAATTTCTAGCTCCTACTTGGCTCCTCCTTTCTAGTCTTCCTGTGGCCTAGGCTACTAAGCCTAGGCCCTACTACTTAGTATATTTGACATGGTATCAGAGGGCGGCATGTCTGCCGCCTTCCTGTGTATGGGCCCACCACCCGCTTCCGCTGCCGTACTGTCCGCCGCGCGCCCCGTGGTGCGCGGCGGCGAAACCCTAATTTCTGCCCGCCGCGCGCTCGGGGCGCCTGGCGGTTTTCCCTTCCGTGGTGCCCGTCGTGGTGCCCTTGGGGGGGCCTCCGCGGTCCCCTCCCGTCGAAGCGCCCGTCGAGGCGCTCTCGGGGACCCGCGCGGCCTCCCCTCTCGTCGCCCGTCGAGACGACCTCGGAGACCCGCGCGGCCTCCCCTCCCGTCGCCCGTCGAGGCGACCACGGGGACAGCGCGCGGTCCCCTCCCGTCGCTCGTCGAGGCGACCTCGGGGGCCGTGCCAGGCCCTCCCCGTCGCCCGTCGAGGCGACTTCGGGGGGCCCGCGCGGCGCCCTCCCCGTCGCCCGTCGAGGCGACTTCGGGGGGCGCGCGCGGCGCCCTCCCCGTCGCTCGTCGAGGCGACTTCGGGGGGCCCGCGCGGGGCCCTCCCCGTCGCCCGTCGAGGCGGCTCTGGGGGCCCGTCGCGGCGCCCTCCCTGGTGCCCGTCGCGGCGCCTCGGGGAGGGGGGCCGTGCGGCTCCCTTCTCGTCGCCCCTCGGGGCGCCCTGGGGGCCGTGTGTTTTCCCCTCAACCCCTCCTCCTACCTTCACCTGCAGCAGCCGCCCCTGGTGCAGCCGCCCCTGCAGCAGCCGCCCCTGGAGCAGCCCGCACCTGCAGCAGCCGCCCCTGGAGCAGCCCGTGCCTGCAGCAGCCGCCCCTGGAGCAGCCTGTGCCTGCAGCAGCCGCCCCTGGAGCAGCCCGCACCTGCAGCAGCCGCCAATGGAGCAGCCCGCACCTGCAGCAGCCGCCCCTGGAGCAGCCCGCACCTGCAGCAGCCGCCCCTGGAGCAGCACGTACCTGCAGCAGCCGCCCCTGGAGCAGCCCGCACCAGCAGCAGCCGCCCCTGGAGCAGCCCGCACCTGCAGCAGCCGCCCCTGGAGCAGCCCGTGCCTGCAGCAGCCGCCCCTGGAGCAGCCCGCACCTGCAGCAGCCCGCGGCCCGTCCCTGCAGCCCAACCTGTCTCTCCCCTCCCCCCCCCCCCCCCCCCCGTGCTGCCCATTGCTCTCATTCCGCCGTGCGTTCCGCGGTGGTGGGGGTGTGAGGTGGCGAGCATGGGGGTGAGCGGTGTGGGTTCTCCCTTCCTCCTCCTTCGTCTCCCACTGCTGCAGCTGCCGCTGAGGGGGGTGGAGGTGTGGGAGTCGTGGGGAGTGGCACTAGGGGGGTGATGTGGGAGAGGAGCTAGGGGTGAAATTGGGGGGTGTGTGAGAGGGGGGTGGGACTGTTTGGGGAGGTTGAACGGAGTCTGCCGTCTTGTCGTCCGCAGCACCTGTAGTCCGGGGCGCACTGTCCTGGTAGCTCAGAGAGCCTGCTGCACCTGTTGCCCGTGGGTCCGTTGCTCCTGCCGCTCGTCGCAGCCGCAGAGCCTGTTACTCCTGTATTCCGGGGCGCACTGTCTCGGTAGACACTGAGAGCCTGCTGCACCAGTAGCCCGTGGGTCCGTTGCTTCTGCCGCTCGTCGTAGCCGTAGAGCCAGTTACTCCAGTATTCCCGGGCGCTCTGTCTCGGTAGCCACTGTGTCAGCCGCCACTGTGTCAGCCGCTTTTGTTGCCCGTGTGTCTGCAGCTTCAGTCGTTGCCTCCCATCTTCTCTCCTCTCACAGTCCCTCCTCCTCCTCACTTGCCCGCTGTGACTACCACTAGCTTTGCTCATATTTATGAACTATTGCTATGACTGCTCATTGTGCTGATTACACCCCACTTTGGCTATGGGGGTGTGTCAGAATATGTTGTTTGTGTAGCCTGCAGTGGGGTACTCAATAGTGAGTACAACCCCTTAGGGTTTGCTATTTGTATCCTGCTGCTTGCTAGTTCAATCATTCCTTCCTCATTTCTGTTCATGCACACAATTCCTAGCTCCTACTTGGCTCCTCCTTTCTAGTCTTCCTGTGGCCTAGGCTACTAAGCCTAGGCCCTACTACTTAGTATATTTGCAACCCTGTCAGCAGTGGCGAAAACGAGGTCGTCGACGTAGACCAGAACGAAGAACGGTGTGGAGCCACGGCGAACAAACAGCGACGGGTCGGCAGAAGACGGCTGGAACGCAACGTCAGAGAGGGTAGAGCGGAGAGTGTCGTGCCACTCACGAGGGGCCTGGCAAAGACTGTAGACAGGTCGCCTCAGCCTCCACTGGGTCCCAGGAGGGAAAGTGCCAGTGAAGGCAGAGGGACGACGCAGCCAGACCTCCTCATGTAGGTTGCCCTGAAGAAAAGCAGTGGAGAAGTCGAGAGAGTGTAACTCGTAGTCTCTCTGTGCTGCTACGTGTAGTAACACCCGAAGAGTGGTCATCTTCGGGGTCGGCGCGAAGGTCTGAAAGAAGTCAACTCCCTCGCGCTGACTGAAGCCTCTAGCAACGTAGCGCGCCTTGAAGACCGGAGGAGATCCCGGTGGCCGCTTCACCCTGTAGATCCACATGCCATCGACTACGTTCGTCCCAGGGGGAGGAACCTCATCGACGTAGGTGCCTGTGGATCTGTAGGAGGCCATCTCTGCGTCCATGGCAGCTCTCCACTGAGAGGCCCAAGGCCCTGACACTGCCTCAGCGTAAGTGCGAGGAGTCGGAATGTCAAGGGCGTCGGGGTCACCCTCAGGGGTGAGGAGCATGGCACAGAGATGAGGGGAAGCGGCTGCCAGGAACTCTAGCTCAAACTGCCTGTCCTCTAGGACGTCACAGCCAAGGGCAGACACACCCCCGACGGCCAGAGGACTGGTAGGAGGAGCAGCCACAAGAGTGGTGGCGTAGTCAAGGCGGCGAGTAGAGGCAAACTCAGTGACCGCGGCAGTAAGAGCGGAGACAGAGGACAAAGAGGCACGAGGGTGGGTAACAAGAGAGGCGAGAACACGAGAGAGAACAGGACGGTACGTGCGGTAGTAGTCAGTGACAGGGGTAGAGAGAGAAGCTGTGAGGGCCGACTCAGGAGGAGAAGGAAGCACAGGAGGAGCCGAACGAGGCGGACTAGAACGCAACAAGACAGTACGAAGGTCAGTGAAAGGAACAGGGGACGAGGGATGAGCACGAGGAGAGCGACGAGTAGCCCAAGTACGAGACGGAGGAGGAGACGACAAAGGCGGAGAACTGGGGAAAACAGCGGGGGAGGAGTCAGGAGGAGGAAACGTGGGACCGTAGACAGGAGGAGAGGGGGAGGAGGGAGGAGAGCGAGAGGGGAGACCAAGGGTCCGAAGACCCGAGACAGGAGGAGGAAGTGGCTGCTGCTGCTGCTGCTGCGGCTGGTGCTGCTGCTGCTGCGGCTGCGGCTGCTGCTGTGACCGCTGCTCCTACGGCTCCAGCTGCTGCTGTGACTGCTGCTCCTGCGGCTCCAGCTGCTGCTGCTGCTGCTGCTGCTGCTGCTGCTCCTGCGGCTCCAGCTGCTGCTGCTGCTCCTCCAGCCGCTGTAACTCCCTCTCCTCTCTCTCCAACGCCAGCTGCTCCTCACGGGCACGGCGAACACGAGCCTGGTGCCTAGTCGGGTAGGGGTGGGGGGGCGGAGTAGTGTCCGGGGCAGCGGCAGCCCCAGAGTCCACCTCCGAAGCACCAGGCGCACCACCCCCAGAGGCAGCACCAACACCAGCTCCAGACCCAGGCTCACCAGAACCCGAAGGAGGCGCACCCTCACCCCCAGACGGAGCACCCCCAGTGTCCGCGCGACCAGCACCAGCTCCCGGAAGACAAGAGTCCTCTGCACCCACCGGCTCAGCTCCAACTCCAGCACCCCCAGAACCAGAAACCGGTACAGGAACAGGCTCAGCACCAACCTCTCGAGAGCTAGCACCTGCGGCACGCTGCGAGGAGGACTGTGGGGAGGGAGGCTATACCGGAGGGGCTACCGAAGGAGGAGGGGTAGCCTGGGACACACCTGACGGGGCTGGACCAGGGGGGGGAGGCTGTACCGGGGGAGCAGGAGGGGGAGCGGCAGTCAGGAAGAGAGGGGGAGGAGGAACCGGGAGACCTCGACTGGGGTACCTGACGTAGTACGGGGTGGACTCCTCAAAACGGACGTCACGGGAGTCAAAGAACCGGTGAGAGGGAGGGTGGTAAAAGGTGAAGTCAGAGGAGTCCTCAGGGAAACCAAGGAAGACACAAGGAACGGCGCGAGGCGAGAGCTTGTCCGCAGAGGTGTCGCGGACAAGAGCCAAGCAACCCCAGACACGAAACCGCGACGCAACACCAGGGGACCCGGTCCAAAGACTGGTCGGCGAAGCCTCTGGCCGAGAGACGCATGGCCAGAGGTTCAGCTGGTGCGCGGCGTACCGAACCGCGTAAGGCCACAGAAAATGGGGGGCACGGGCGTGAGTCAGGGAGGTGCGGGCAATCTCCATGACCAAGCCTATGCGGCGCTCAGCAACCCCATTCTGCTGTGGGGACTCTGGAAGCGTCCAGGACTGACGAATGCCCTGCTCGCGACAGAATCCAGCGAGAATGCCGGAGCGAAACTCACCCCCGCGGTCGGAGTGAAGACAGCTGACACGACGACCACGAGTGTCCGCGGTGGTGAGCAACCACCTGATCAGCGTAGAAGTCACCTCAGACTTCTTTGCCAGGGGGAACACCGTGGTGTAGCGGGAGTAGTCGTCAATGACCACCAGAAAGAAACGCTCACGCTCAGGGCCAAGGCGAGAGGCGGGGCCCCAGACGTCCAAGTGAAGCGTCTCAAACGGCTCGGTGGCCGGACGAAGGGAGGAGGAGTGAGGGGTGGCGCGCAGCCGACCCTCGACGCAAGGACCGCACGGTGGTGCAAGGGACGGCGGCAGCGACGGCAAGACACGCGGGAGACCTAAGACCAGACCTTGACTAGACATAGCGCACAGACGCGGAAGAGAAGGGTGTCCCATCCGGTGGTGCCACAGAACGGTGGGGTGGGCAAGCGACCTGCAGGAGCAAGACGCAGCGACTGGACTGGACGCGACTACCTGAGGGGACGTAACCACCTGGTGAGACGCAGGGAGGAGACAAGGGGGAGGGACAGGAGCAGGGAGTAGGGGCTGCTGCGGCGGCGGCTGCTGCTGCTGCTGCTGCGGCCGCTGCCGTGCACGCGTGCCAATGTGAAGAGTGTAGAGACCGGAGCCCGGCTCAGCAGCAAAGGTGGCCAGAGGCTGGTAAGAGTCCCCGTCAACACACACCGCAGTCTCCCCAGAAGGCTCAAACCACACACCCACGTGCTGACTCACGAGGGGTCGCACGCCCACCAAGTTCCGGGAGAACGAGGGGACGTGAAACCCAGTGAGAGACCCGGAGGGAGCAGCAGGACACAGAAGGCTCGATTCGACGGGCAGCAGGGGGGGAAAACGCGACTCGACGGGCAGCGGGGGGGGGGGAGGAAACGCGACTCGACGGGCAGCGGGGGGAAAACGCGACTCGACGGGCAGCGGGGGGGGGGGGAGGGGGGGGGGGGGGGAGGGGGGGGGGGGGGGGAACGCGACGGGCAGGGGGGAGGATGGATGCTACGCTACGCGAGTAGGGGATCAGAGGAACAGGCGGTAACGAAGGAACGGGACGAGAGCGGGCCGGCGCTAGGCTCGGGCAAGACGTGCGCAACTAGTACGAGAGAGGGAGACAGGCTCGGGCGATACGAACGAGGTCGGGAGGAGCGGGATCCCACAGGATCCGAACCGCTCTGATACCATGTCAAACTGAGGAATGAATGATGCATTGATGTTGGTTTGGGGTACATATAACAAACCCTAACTGTTGTACCTCTCAAGATAACTAGGCAAGAATGAATGAACTAGCAGAAGTTTGGGTACAAATATGAAACCCTAGTTGGGGTTGTACCCCATATTGGCTACCCCACTACAGCCTACAAGCATAATACAGTTTAACACACCCCCATAGGCAAAGTGGGGGAGAACAAAGGGTCACAAGACCAGTCCAGCAAAGCAAAGCAAAGCCCAGGGTGGATCACAACGTCACCACACTCCGAGCACAAGTAAAGGCCACAAGGCCAGTTCACATGCAGTGCTAGATATAGTACAAGACAAGCAACACAGTGATCAAAACCTAGCAAGCAAGCAACAAGATATATATAAAGTACAGTACAAAGAATGTCAAGCAGTGAGCAAGTGAGGAAACGTGGACACAAGGCCTAAAGAAGTACAGTGCCGCTGATGATCACTAGGCGGGAGCGCCTTGGTGAAGATATCAGCAGTGTTGGCCTTCGAGTCCACGTACACAAGCCGAAGCTGACCGCGCTGCTGAAGCTCTCGAGCAAGAAAGTAGCGAAGAGCAATGTGCTTCGTCCTGTGCTCCAGTCTGTGCTCCTGACACAAGGCAAGAGCCGCCTTGTTGTCACCGTACAGAACTGGAGGAGAACTAGGCCGCTCTCCCAAGTCAGTCAGCAGGTAGGTGAGCCAGCGTAACTCCTGTGCAGCCATGGCTGTGGCGTAGATCTCAGCCTCACAACTAGAGCCGAGAACAGAGGAAGAGCGGGTGGACCGCCATGAGACAGAACCAGAGCCAAGGCTGAAGGTGTAACCCTGTGACGACCGCTGCGTAGCCAGGTCGTCCACCCAAGAAGCGTCCGAGTGACCAGTGAGGACAACTCTGTCGCGTCCTCCAAGCACCAGCCCCATGCCTGATGTACTGCACAAGTAACGCAGCACCCTCTTAGCAGCCTCCCAATGCTCTCGCCTGTGTCTCCCAGGCGCAACGTAACGAGCAAGGATGCTAAGAGGGTACGCGAGGTCAGGTCGCGTGCAAGTCATCAGGTACATGAGGCGTGCTCTGGGTACGGGCCACTCGGCTCTACGGACTCGTCCGAAGGTGGAGCTGAGAGCGAGTGGCTGGTAGCCAGAGGTGTGGCCTGTGGTGAGGAGAACTGGAAGCCGAAGCGCTGAAGGACCTGCTGCACCATGTGTGACTGAGTCAGGGTGATGGTGCGGCGAGCTCTGTCCCGGGTGATCTGCAAGCCAAGGTAGCTACGCAGTTCACCCAGGTCAGTGCAGGTGTGTCTCTTCTGCAGCTCCGACTTCACACGAGCGAGTGCCTCAGTGTCAGCAGTAGCAAAGACCAAGTCGTCGACGTACACGAGAATATAGAACGGCGGCAGCGACGTGTCTGTGCGCAGAAACAGCGACGGGTCAGCAGTAGACGGCGCGAACCCAAGAGCCGCAAGTGTAGTCCTCAGTGTGTCGTGCCACTCACGTGGTGCCTGGCGGAGACCGTAGACTGGCCGGCGGAGACTCCACTGGGTACCAGGGGGAAACGACCCAGTAAAGCCAGGTGGGCGGCGCAGCCAGATCTCCTCGTGCAGGCTGCCCTGCAGGAACGCTGTGCTGAAGTCAAGAGAGTGAAGCTCGTAGTCACGCTGAGCAGCAACGTGCAGCAGAACCCGAAGAGTGGTCATCTTCGGGGTGGGGGAGAAGGTCTGGAAGAAGTCGACCCCCTGACGCTGACTGAAGCCTCTAGCAACGTAACGAGCCTTGAAGACAGGCGGAGAACCTGGCGGCCGCTTCACCCTGAAAATCCACATGCCATCGACGATGTTCGCCCCAGGAGGGGGAACCTCGTCGACGTAGGTGCCTGTGGACTTCCAGGATGCCATCTCTGCGTCCATGGCTGTCTGCCACTGAGAGGAGTAGGGACCCGAGATCGCCTCTGCGTAAGTGCGCGGAGTGGGGATGTCTAGTGCATCCGGGTCTCCCTCAGGGGCAAGTAACCAGGCCACGAGATGAGGTACAGCAGCCGCAAGAGAGTCAAAGTCCTCCTGGCTGTCCTCAAGGACGTCCGTGCCAAGAGCAGACTCACCCCCGACGGACGGAGGACAGACAGACGCAGACTCTGACTCAGCAACAAGGCTAGCAGCGTAGTCTAGACGACAGGCAGCAGCAAAGTCAACCAACTCAGCGACCAGAGCAGACGCAGCAGAGGACTCAAAGGTAGGGTCAGTGACAACAGTAGCTAGGAGACGCGTGACTGTAGGGTGCTCAGCGCGATACCGGTCAGACTCAGGGTCCGGAACGGCAGGCAAAGAGGACGCAGGAGGAGACGGTAGAGGGACACGCCGAGGAGCAGTAGAGGGACGCAGAGTCATGTAGTGAGTGCCTGGGACAGGAGGAGGACGCTCACGACGGACACGACTACCAGTGCGAGCAGGACGAACAGGCGACGCAGGACGAGACTCAGGCTCACGACGCTCTGTAAGACCTCCTGTGGGACCAGCGTAAGGAGAGGGAGCAGGGAGAGGCGAGGCAGGCGGGAACTGTGACTGCGGCTGGACAGGCGGAGGACACTCTAAGGAGGGAGGAGGACAAGGAGGAGGAGTCTGCCCAAGAACCTGCTGAAGGAGCGGTACGAAGTACGGTCGCGGCCGCTCAGCGCCTCCAGAACCAGCAGAGACACCAGTGGCAGGGTCCTCAGTACCAGCAGCAGCTCCAACGTCTGGGTCCTCAGCACCAGCAGCAGCTCCACCGGCCGGGACCTCAGCACCAGCAGCAGCTCCACCGCCCGGGTCCTCAGCTCCAGCAGCAGCTCCAACGCCCGGGTCCTCAGCACCAGTAGCAGCTCCACCGTCCGGGTCCTCAGCACCAGCAGCAGCTCCACCACTCGAGTCCTCAGCACCAGCAGCAGCGCCACCGCTCGGGTCCTCAGCACCAGTAGCAGCTCCAACGCCCGGGTCCCCAGCACCAGCAGCAGCTCCAACGCCCGGGTCCTCAGTACCAGCAGCAGTGCTACCCCCAGGGTCCGCAGCACCCGGAGCACCACTCCGAAGACTGCAGCGTCGCGTGTACCACTCTCGGATCTGCTGAATGGGGGGGAGCTCCTGGGTAGGAGGGGAAGTACCGGGACGAGCTCCAGCAGCACCTCTCCGGAGGCGGCAGTACTCGAGGTACCTCTCCTGCAGCTGCTGGGAGGAGAGGGCTCCTCCAGGTGTAGCACGCTCAGTCTCAGTACCCCCAGACTCAGCACCCCCAGACTCCGCACCCCCAGGCTCAGCACCTCCAGGCTCCACACCTCCAGGGTCCGCACCTCCAGGCTCAACACCCCCAGGCTCCGCACCTCCAAGCTCAACACCCCCAGGCTCCGCACCTCCAGGCTCAACACCCCCAGGCTCAGCACCCCCAGACTCAGCACCCCCAGGCTCAGCACCCCTAGACGCAGGACGAGAGTCAACAGCTACCTCGACAGGCTCACCCGGGTCTACCTGGGACACACCTGAGGGAGCGGCACCCTGAGGGGGGAGGGGGTCTGGTACCTCTGCACCTGGAGCGAGGAAGAGAGGCGGGGGGGGGAGCGGGGCAGTGCGGTAGGGGAAGAGGCGGTAGTAGGGGACGGACTCGTCAAAAGTGACGTCCTGAGAGGCCAGGACACGCCGCGAGGTGGGGTGGTAGAACTGCCAACCAGGGGCGTCCGGGACAAAGCCAAGGAAGACGCAGGGGACAGTGCGACGGGAGAGCTTGTCCGCGGACGTGTCGCGGACAAAAGCTCGGGATCCCCAGACCCGAAAACGCGACGCATCGCCGGCCTCTCCCGTCCAACACAGTGTCGGAGAAGTCTCGGGCAAGGAGACACGGGGCCAGAGGTTGAGCTGATGCGCAGCGACTGCAAACGGCCACAGAAAGTGGGGGGCAGCCGCATGAACCAAGGAGGTACGAGCGACCTCCATGACCAAGCCAATGCGGCGCTCAGCAACCCCATTCTGCTGTGGAGAGGCCGGAAGCGTGAACGACTGCTCAATGCCCTCCTGCTGACAGAAGGCCTCCAAGAGGCCAGAGGAGAACTCACCACCTCCGTCAGAGTGCAGACGCAGGACAGGGAAGTCGGAGCGGAAACGCTCACTGAGCTGGAGACGAGATCTGCGGAT